AAAAAAAAAAAAGAGCAACCTCTTCATGCCACACTCAATGTAAGTAATAACTGGAGTGACAGCTGAAGAGGACAACCTAAGCCACATTTCCCAAAGTCAGGTCACAAACACTGAGGCTACTTATTGAAGAAAGAAAAAGTTCCAAGAGAAGTGATGTGAGACCAGATTAACGGTCAAAGTATGTGAGAAAGTCAAAGACCAGATCTTAACTCACTGAAAGGATATCATATTCTCCAGCTCCAGAGAACTTCTTGGACGAAACCACTCCGGTTTTTGGCTCAATGAAAAATCTGCCATGCTCGTTTCCATCTTCGATGCTGTACGAGATCTCTGCATTGGGACCTTCGTCTTTGTCTGTAGCGATAACACGATAGATGGGCTCGCGCTTGGAGATTCTTTCTCGTTCTGGTCTTTCCCGCTCTGGGAGTCTGATTTTGTAGAACTTTTGTAGGAACTGGGGTTTGTTGTCATTTTCGTCAAGGATTTTTACAATTACTCTAGCAACGGTTGACTTGGGGGGGCTACCATTGTCTGTCACGGTAACCTGTGTGTGAAAGGGAACAGGTCGACAGAGGTTTTTAAAAATAGAACTACATAAAAAGTGATTACCTTCCTCCAAATTGAGGATAACCTGTATTTTGCATAAACCTGTATTTTGCATCTCACCCAGCACTAGGACACACACCATCTCCTCTCCTGACAACAGGAGGCAAGGCGACGTGTCCCATTCAGACAGGGACCTGGGCAGCAGGCGGGGGCTGAGGAGGCGGCACAGCAGGAGCCCCGCCTCTCCCCTCACCACGCTGCCTGTCCCAGGGCTGCCACAGCTGTAATGCGCATGTCGCCAAAATGGCAAACTATCAGCAACGTCTTTTTGAATCATGGAAGAGCTACAAGGAGATTTTGCTTTTCAATAAGGAGTCCTCTTAGGAATAACATCCACTCTCTACCCTTAAAAATCACATCTCCACATACCGCATTAAAAATCATCAGTTTAAAATATGTGCAAAGTCACGTGCCTCTTCATACTAGCCGTCGCCCTTTTGTTCTGTCGGACCCTGTTCCTGCACAGGAATCCTCCACATTCAGCAGGGCGGACATAAAAACTGTCATTCCAAACCCACTTATTCCATAATATTTTCAGTAAAAAGAACATAACAACCTGAGGTCTTGAGGACTGGTGAATGCTTCCATATGTGCAATTTCATCCCGAAATCAGATGTCCACTATTATTTTGGTGTGTACGTTCAAAGCAATAACCCTAGGAATAGCTCCCTCACCACATCCTCCAAAATTAATCACTGAAATGCATTTTTAAAAATATTAAAGTATACTGCAGGTTTTTGTGGGACTCATTTTGTTTTTAAAGCTTGGGGAGTATAAATCTGTTGTTTATAAAAATGTGACTATATCCTAATAGTACTCATCAAGAGTATTTAAGTCAAGTAGCTGTTTCTCCTTAAGTACATGATTGGGACACCTGGGTGGCTCAGGCGGTTAAGCATCTGCCCCCGGGTTTCAGCTCAGGTCACGATCTCATGGGTTTGTGAGTTTGAGCCTTGAGTCTGCACTGTCAGTGCAGAGCCTACTTGGGATTCTCTCTCCCCCTCTCTCTGCCCCTGCCCCCCCCCCCAATCAAAATACACAAGCTTAAAAAGAAAACAAAAATGAAAAAAATCAAGTGCATGATTTACCTGCTCACACTCTCAAAATAAAAACAAAATTTACAATTACTATTTAATTTTAACCTCCCAAAACATTTCCTTTGGATCAGTTTTCAGATGATCTTCAGGAAAAAGAAGGAAAATTAAAGAGAACTAGAAGCAAGCACTATGTTTTGCAGTATCATCACCAACATGGTTTTAAGTTTCGGTTCAATAACCAGCAGCCAGTAACAAAGCTTTTAACACCGAACTGAAAAACTCTTCAAGACAGGCCAATCGACGCTGGCGTTGGCCTTCAAACACCCCACCAAGAAGGACTACAGAAAACATACGAGGTATGTAAACAAACCATTACAGTCTTATTTCCCACCAACGTCTTACTATCATCTTCAGAGTCCTAAGTCCTAAGTCCTAACCTTACACTTGCTCCCATCCAGCCTTTGACAGGTGCCACCAACAGGTGGCTCTGGAGTAGGGCGCACAGCCAGCAGGTGTCCCGTGCAGCTCTGACCAGGGCACGGGCCCAGCACAATCCCCATGCCGGGGACCTGCCACTCCGGACAGATTGCCACCGGTTCCTTTTCTTCAGGAACCACATTCTCCCTTCTGTCAATCACTGTAGTGACTGGATGAAAATTCTAAGCTCTGCTCTATCAGAAGGAAAGAGAATTCAAGGGACCTGTACCATCGACGGCTGGATGGAACACACGAAGAAATTACTAACTGTAATGGTGGCTGTGAAGCACCTTTTCTACACAGGATATTCATGTGCACACGTTACACAGCTATAAAAACTACGTATTTTCCTGACAATTAGAAAATCAGACCAAGGGGGCACCTGGGTGGCTCAGTCGGATGAGTGTCCGACTGTGGCTCAGGTCATCTCTCAGTCTGTGAGTTCGAATCCACATCGGGCTCTGTGGTGACAGTGCAGAGCCTGCTGTGGATCCTCTGCACCTCCCTGCTCATGCTCGCTCTCTCTCTCTCTCTCTCAGGAAGGAACAAAAGGAAGGAAGGAAGGATACTGGACCAGGGATGAAATGAAATTAAGCAGGTAGCATTATGAACAGCAATAATATAAAAAGAGAGATAGCTAAATATTAATCAAAATAATAATAACAAATCACAGCTCAGAACTTTCCCCAGGACCCACACTGGCAGAAGGGAAGATTCATGCAGAGGACTCGACAAGCACTTGGGTCTTTTCCAGCTATAGCTCCAATCATCAACACTGGCTATTAACGTGTGACACAGAAATGCCAGCAAAGGTTACATGTCTGCTCTGCGTCCCTCCCCAAGTGCCGTCTCTTCTCAGCCCCCTCCTGGCCTAGAGGCCGTGGCTCCGGGCCGTCGCATCCAGCCCGCCGTCCACAGGACACTATGTGCCCCCCTCCACAGACTCCTATCCCTGCGCCTACAGGGTGCCGACCCTCTACCAGCAAACTAGTGAAGGACAAGCTGTGTTTCTTCTTTCAGGGACTAGAAGGCATTTTAAGTGAGCTGTGAGCATGAGAAGCCTAGCAGAAGAGACCCTGTCAGTCTTCAATCTTTTAGTTTAGAAATGTTTATAAAGCACAAACTTTTAGTAAAAAGCACAAAATTTCAGGGCACCTGGGTGGCTCGGTCAGTTTAGCGTCCAGCTCTCGGTTTCAGCTCAGGTCATGGTCCCAGGGTTGTGGGACTGAGCCCCACGTCAGGGTCCACGCTGACAATGCAGAGCCTGCTTGGGATTCTCTCTCTCTTCCCCCTTCTCTCTGCCCCTCTCCTGCACTCTCTCACACACTCTCAAAATAAATAAACTTAATTTTTTTAAAAAACAAAACACAAACTTTCTACAATTCAGTTTGAAACGCAAAAACAAGGCAATTACTTAAGGATAACGATAACAAAAACTGGAAACTAGCTACAGTTGAATTAGACCTAGTATCATAAAAAATCCTGAAAACAATACTGAGGAAAAAGATGTAGAAGGCCTATAGAAATACATCTCATGTAAATGAAAAGGAAATTTCAATAATATCACTTCATTTGATTGCTCTGTGTGTGCTGTGCATGTGAAAAGCACAATAATTTGAGCGGTCCTGTATTCTGGGGATAGAAAGGGATTTAAGGGGACATGAACCACACTCACAAAGGTTTGGTTTCCCCTTTATTTTCCTTTCTAGTAATGACCAGGAGGCAATATAATGAAATAGTAACAATTATGAAGACTAGTTAATGCGACCACGAATGTTCTTTCCCATGATATTTATAATTATAGTATTTTTAAAATAACTAAAATAAAGACATGCTTACTTCTAATATATGTTCATCCTGCTGCTCTCGGTCCAGTTTCCTTGACGTTGTTGCGATAAGACCTATGAAGTGGTAACAGTTCATTAATCATTACAAATAAAGTCAAAATATTTACAAAATATCGTCACTGAAACCTCACTGAGCACAGAAGTCTGAGCAAATCTCTGATCCGGAAGGGAAAAAAAAAAATGATTAATCCAGGTTCAATCATTTTATTTACAACCAACACACTTCACACGGTCTCATTTTAATGGCTCTTAAACACAGTAAATGACAGAAGGATGAAAAAGTGGCAAAACTCCAGTTACCTTCTTGATGTGGCCAGTGGTTTGAATATACACTGTTGTCAGAAGACATTTTTTAAAAAGGTGAGATGAAGTTACTCAGGATTTCAAACTCCTCTAACTTCTGCAGAGACAATTAAGTATGAAGTGACAGAAAAAATCTTCTGTAACTGTATTAGAAGGACCAGTGGAATGGCTATCGCCATGACTTATTACCTCCCAATCACCGACCCTCGTAAGTGGAGACTCGTTATAAAAGTAATGTGACTTTCCAGGAAATACTGCTCAGATGTCAACTAATTTCCAATGGGAGAAAAAAATAAATGATCCTCAAAGAAACCCCATATTCTTTATCTCCTTGATTTTTCTATCAAACTAGAAAATCTATAGTTTCAATCTGTCTCTAGAACTTTAATAACAGTCGATGTGAGTGTCCACATAGGTTGGATCCTGGAAGACCGTGAAAACTGATGAAATCCTTTCTGTACTTCACAAAATACACACAAAATTCCCCCAACCACTAACACAGCCTCCGCAGCCTGTGCTGACCATGGTCAGGGGTGTATACAGTGGATCTGACGTCAGATCAGCAGCTCAGGTAAAACCTTCTGAGGCAAGACGACTGGCAGGAACCACCTTTCTCCGGCCCAGCTTTTTGTGGTTTTTTCCACAGGAAAATACTTCAAATAATGTATATTTAAGAAAGACTTTATCACTATAATTGATTTTCCCCTATTATCCTAAGTAATTTCACACAACTACCAATTAAAGGCTATTCAAAACGATTCTCTAAATTTGTAAATGAAAGGTTCGTGTTTTTATTTAATTTGATGAAGATTTTTTTCTTCCCTAAAATAGTTTACTGAGGATCTCAATCAACATGATCTTCCCCACAATTCAGTGAAGCAACGCACTCTTGCTGATAAGAACAACAAAAGACTATATTGTAAACTAGAATCTGGGGGGTTTCCCAAACCACACTTATAGATTGAAACAGGTTCAAGGAAAATGCACGGCAATGCTTAACGGCGTAAAAATGTTGCTTATTGTGGCAGATGTTTGATTTTCATTAGTCAAAAACCTTTTAAAGTTAATCCCTCTTGTTTCCTATCAAATGTTTACCACTTTCTGATGGTGGTTTTAAGTAGTTCAAGAACGACAGGAAATCACTGTGATTCGTCCCATCGAACTGTCCTAAGGTGCCCATCGAAAAGCTGTCATCAATGGTAACATCACAGGGGCAACAGCTTGGCACGTTCTCAGCAAAACAGGATCCTGCTTGTGTAGAGCATAATCACTTGTTGCAAGAATGCCTGTTGGCAAATAAGTTTCTACAGCCAATAACCAAATGCCCATTAACAATACAATCCCCCACTTCACGGCTTGCTTTCGGCACACTTAACAAAGGGTGTGTGCCCACATCCACGCGACAAATTCAACAGAGACAAAAAGCAAACCCAGGTTTATTATTTGCACTCTCCATATGCTTCAAATTAATTCTCCTCTGTTAACTCAAACGGAACATTAACTCCGTCTGAATGCAATGAATTCTAATGTTCTGTTCCCTTCTTACACACTCTTTCAGCCTAGTTACTGCTATCCACTCCCCCACCTCTCGGCTCAGACGTCACTTCTGAGGCCTGACCCGACAGGTGTGCCTGGGGTCCCGCGGCCGGGCTCCACACTCACATCTGCCGTAGCGCAGCACGGCCCCACAGGACTACGGTCACTCACTCCAATCTCCTCTTGCTGCCTGCAAAGCCTAGGAGGACAGTCTGCCTTTCTCGCCCATCTTGGTTATACTGCTACACCTCTATTACCCTAAAAGAAAATACTTAAACGTGTGAACCAAAAAGGGGCAGCATTAAAACTACGTATTTGAGCGAGACAGACACATAAACTACCCTAAACTTGGAAATAACGATACGTATTTACGGCTCACATAGGCGCCAACAGAAAGTGACGCAGCATCTATTTACAGGCAGGACGTGCCAGGCGGTCCAGGGGAAGGTGGCGTCCAGGAGGCACGTAGAGGCCCAGATCCCTCGTGCGGGGAGCGGGTTACACCCCAAGTACACCTGGGTTACAGGTGTACCCAAGTACGTCTGGGTTCCACCCCAAGTACAAAAGGCTGTGAGGAATAAAGGGAACGGTGGGCCAGTTTTACGAAAGTAGGGTCGAGCCACGTTTAGAAAGCCACGAAGAAGCCGAGGGAGCAGCAGGCTGAAGAGAAGCACCACGTGTCGCAGGAACCAGGGACAGAGAGTTTTAGGGAGGAAGTTCCTCCCCCGAGTATGTCAGAGCGGCTCAGCAGAGGAGCTAAAAGGAGAGCCGGAGAGGCAGGAAGGAGACCAGGACGGGTGTTTCTTTTATGAAGAGGAGACTTTAGCAGGCAGCACGGAGCCATGCAGAGAGTGAGCTCTGAACACGAGGGAAGATGAAGCCCGAGACCAGAGCTGACCAGTACAGGAGCCACAAGCATCGTGAGGCAACAAATTCAAATCGCACCTACAATAGCTCGTGAACACGGAACACACTTCAGACTGACAAGACGGCCTTTTTTTCTGGATTCACAACACTCCTACCAGAAGAAATCCCATCAGAAGCGCCACGGTGCTTTCTTTTGCCCAACGCCAAAGGGCGAGGCTGTGCCTGTGCATCTGGGGGCCTTGCGGGGGCATGAGGTGCCCTGCCCCTTAGAGAAGAGAGAAATTAACGCTTCTTGTGGAATTTGCACACCAAATGAACCCCGGTGAGAGGACACATTTCCCAACCAGGAAGGAAAATCCCAGGAAAACCGGATGTCCTTGGAGCCACCCCAGGGAGCCACATTCCAGCCACGCTCACTTGGCACTCACTTCCGCTGCAATTCTGCACATCTCGATGCTGCTAATCCTTCCGCCTGGCCTACCTGACAAGCACCTATTTCGAAAGACGAATCCGAAGTGTACCTTTTCTATATACTCAGTACGTGTTATTAACCCTGTAGGCGTGGAATATCCTAATAAGGATATCCATTTCTTTCATTTTAAACATCTGTGTTCATCTGTTATGTTTATTACTAAATCCCAGGAGGATCTATACTAGTAGAAACAGCACGATTCTTCAGAACTAGAGAGAAACCTTCAACATGATCGAACTCGCCTGCCTGAGTCAAAGAGAAGTTAAACGGTCCCAAGACCACCAGTAAGTCATCACAGCCAGGACTACAAGTGTAGTTTTCCTGAGGCCCCGTTGAGAGCGTTTGGGGATTCTTCTCTTCCCCATCACATCACACTGCATCATTTACTACACTTTAGGATTTCAAGTCTCCATCAAGTCTGAACTACGACTTACATAAAACTTAAGGGAACACACACGCAATCAGCAATAGTTAATCATTATTCATTTAGTAGGTTGAAAAAAGGGAGAAAAGGAAAGAGTGGGCAGAAGCAGAACAATGTATATGCAAGTGCTGCCTTTTCTCACTCTTGCGTTCCATCTTTTTTGTGGGGCACTATTAAACTAAAAATAGAAATGCAAAGACAAAGTTTCTTTATTTGGCCTACAAAAACATCTCACTGCGCAGACCAATACTATTATAAATGTAAGTGAACGGAGACAGCAAACACCCTATATTCTCACCAAGTCGCAGTGGCCACTTTACTCCATAAACATATGTGAAACTAAGAAGCCAAACTTTCCTGTTTGACGATCAGTATTAAAAAAAACCATGCAGGTTTCCAAGGCCACTTTATCATTTACGGAAGAGAATCCATTTAAGGATACAAGAAAATTAGATTAACTAAAATGTTTCGATACAGAATTTTACTCTGACATTTCTTTCGATACCAAAAACCATCTCTAAACTTCTCAAAGTTGAAGAGGTCAAATGGACATCACGAAGTAGGGTAGCACATAAAGATGAACGTCAAAGAATCAGCAGGTGAGGAGAAGGTGAAATGGTCCGCGAAGGCGGAACTATACGTAGGTATTCATTCAACCGTCCTGGGGGTGCGCTAAGAACGTAGAGATGACAAAGAGGCTTGTTTTCAAGAAACAAGGGTGAAAGCAAAGACCGCCTTCAACAAACTATACAAAAGTTAGACTAGAGTGGAGGGTACACAGAGGACGCAGGGAGAAAGCAAGGGCTCTTGCTGAGGGTTCTGTATTCCAAGAAAGCTTTAACTTGGCTGGACCATGAGACACACGTAGTCTAGCCATCTCTATTGTTCCAGGAGACAACCAGCCCACCACTCAATGTGCAAGCAAGGCCAGCCAGGACCAACCAGCCTCGGAGAGAACCAGCTGAGTGACCACCGCTGCATGAAACGTCAGCCAGGCCTGGACAAGGCCAGAAGCGCCCAGCAGAATCCTATAAGAAATTATGGTGGTGGCTGTCACAAGCCACTAAATTCTGGGACGGTTTGCTCCACGGCAAGGGCAAAATAATGCATCAGATGACCTCACCTCTAATTGTTATCTGACTTACTACATGCCAAGGTGGTGAGCTTTCAATAAATTTTCTCATTTAGTCCAGATGTATGCAAGTGGCGGTATCTATATCATGACACGTTACCCTTGTTACAGGCTCGGAGAAATTAAATTGCTTTCTCAAGGTCATTCAGCAAGATGGTGATTTGCAAGTTCGATACACCCAGATCACCAGAGTCTGAAGTCCACAATAAGAACGAGAGAACCCAGGGAGGCACTGAAAGATTAGGTTCTATAAAAAATGGGTTGAAACGTCAGTGCTGTGGATGTAACTAGATGGCAGCCAGAGATGAAGGAGGGGGAAA